AAAAAACAACATATGGACAGGGCGCTGACGGTGTCAGTGTTGTACAATGTTCGATCTGATGTCATGCGTTGGTTGTTCTGTACAGTGGTGCATCTGCCAATCACAGCTTAGAGCAGTGGCGTAGGAGCGAGGGGAGTGGACGGCACCAGGTGGCACTCTTGTCTCTACATTGAGTGGCGGTCAACTGAAGAGGGATTTATTTTGCGTAAAAGTGGGGCGGCAAAAAACTTCACTAAACCTGGCTGTCCCACTCCTCGAAGCGAGATGTTAAATTATAGTAGGTATGAGTCGATTCTAACGTTTTGAGATACACAGCTTTTATTTCATCTACCTTTCTTATAATGTTTCATTAAGTCCTTCCAACAACCCGCTTTTTCAAATATCCACATCTGCAATTAAATTAGCTTACATTTAAATAAATAAACAAGTACATACAATCAGAATGAGTATATGGCTGCACAATATCGCTGGAAAATGCGTTGGTTTTACCTGACCTCATAATGGGTTGTCATTATTATTCACTCCGAGGCTGCGCAATTAAAGATCAAAGGCTCATAACCGAAATATTATTTAGCTTTTTGGTAACCTTTAGTAATTCCCCCTTAAAAAGTTATTTAACTTAATCATCGTTTTTAACTTGAAAATAAATTATTGTCTTTTGAGATTGAAGGAAGTAAACGTGACATTTAAAATATAAAGCAAAAATAAACATAATTAATCCGGAAAAATAATGATACGTATAAGAGAGACAACTCTTTTTAAAAAAATTCCCCTTAAATACCATTTTTTTGTTAAAATCAATTTATTTTGCATATAACTATATATACAACCGTTAGAGATAAAATCCGAACGTAAATGTTTATACAATATAAACAAGCAACTTTTAGATTTTAAACAATTTAACACTGACACTCAGAGGGTTTGATCCGAAAAGTAGATTTGTGGGAATTTCATAAGGAAAATATTTTGCCATAAATACAAATGGAGATGACGGCTAAGGTACCTTAAATAGACAAAAAGAGATGGGGTCAAGCTGACTTAAACTTGGGTCCGTTTGAAAGTTCTTTCCGTTTAGATTTCGTCACGGGGAGGATTTCAGTTCAAGCTTTTAACCGACCACAGCGGCGGGACCCTTCCACAAATAGGAGTACTCGCCGACGTAGACCCGGCACACCCTGAAGTTACTCCCACTCGCCCCGCTGAAGTCCATGGTGGCCGACTGGTAGAGATGCGCTCTGTTGGACGTGAACCACAGGTAGCCCTTGTCGTCCACCTTCAGGCTATCAACGAAACTGTAGGTGGTCACGTTCTGAACGACCTCGGTCTGGGTCACCATGGTCACGCCCCCCTCCGGAACTCCCTGGTCTTCCCGATCTTTGAGGCGTTCCCACCTAGGAGAGAGCCAAACAAAAAATGTTCAGTTACAGTCGTGGCATTCCAAAAACTGTTTACTTTAATATAAGAGAAACATAGTCTTGAGGAAAATTAACAACTTCATTTAAACTGTGTAATCGCAACAAGAAAATATACCTTTGTATCATCTTAAGGTAAAGCTGGAAACCATGCACGAAGTGACGTCAAGCATCTAGAAGGGACGGGCTGATACTTTGTGACAATGTATTATATAGGTGACTACATATTTTGTGACAATTTATTATAGAGGCAAGTACATATATTGTAACAATTTATTATAGTGGCGACTACTTATTTTGTGACAATTTCTCACAAAGGTGACTACATATTTGTGACAATTTATTATATAAGTTACTACATATTTTGTGACAATTTAATATATAGGTGACGCATTTTTTGTGACAATTTATTTTAATGGGCGACTACATATTTTGTGACAATTTATTACAAAGGCGACTACATATTTTATGACAATTTTGTGTCGATGGAACGAAAATGGAATTTAATTTTATAAAACTTGTGAAAAGGGGTGGGGGGGCAGGATAGTTTAAAATAAACTAAGTAAAAGGCAACAAGAACAAATCATGTTTCAAAATGAGTTAAATGTAAAATCAAATTATTTCTATTCACATATTTCATTTGGTACATTACAGTATTCTTACTTATAGACAGCGTTCAGTGTCAAGGCCCCGTAAAAGATGCTCGATTGACCAGATGCAAGACCGTCAGCATTTGAAATCTTATTACCAAGTAGGCGGACTTTGCAAGCGAAATCCCCGTAGGGATCTCTGAGAACGGATGTGGGGATCTGAAAGAGTTTTTTGCCACCCACCGGACAATAATAGACGGACAGGAAATCAGGGTCAATGGCAATGCCGTCCACCGGAAACTGCATCTGGGGGTAGTTGACGCCATCAATATTAATTATACTGTCCTCGTCTGTCTTCATAGACTCATGAAAGAAAGACCATGAGCTGTTGGTCTCGAGGTCAAATACGATGATCTGAACGCTTCCGACATCCGTTATGTAAATGTACTTGACCTCCTGACCTTTTCTGGTGACGTAGTCCAGCACAAGGTCATCGAGGATGCTGACGTTCTTCGGCACCAGACTTTCCGGAAATTCGTGTTTTCTGACGAGCGCTCCCTGCTTTTTCAGATCAAAGACCACCAGTTTCGGCGGACAGGGTGCATACGGGTTTGGTGGACCCCTCCAGGTTCTCCCTACGTCTAAGACGTACATAAGCCCCGTTTTGGGGTCGGTCTGGCTGGCGAAGGGCGACTGCAAACTCTCGCACTTCCCCAGCTCGTTCGCAGCAAGGCTTGGGAACGGCTGCAGTAGAGACCTCCCGTTCTTCACCACCACCTTGTTGAGCCCCGAAGGCACGTCGGGCGTAATTCGAAGAGCCGTCACGTAGATTTCATCGTTGTACACGTCGATCCCGGAGAGGAGGCTTCTGTTGGGTTCGTACCAGCCTCGTTTGATGTAATCGGCCTTCACTTCGTCAGAGGGCCAATCGTATTCGAGGGTGCTCCATTCATGAACAACTTCACCCCGAGGGTAGTTGGTAGATTTCAAACTGATACCTGTTAATGCTGCAGATGTTCCAATTAAAATAACCAGCGCAAACCACAGTGGAGATGTGAAGATCATTTTTAAGCTTAATCAATGAGTTTTTATCTAGAAGAAAAGTGAAATACAATAGAAAAATAAAACAACAAAATAGCATTTTAAGAAATGTGAACATTATTTTGAACCCTTTTATTCATTTGAACGAATCTTTTAAAGAAAGTTTTTTTTTAAACTTTTTTTAAAGCTTTTGTTTCACAATTTTTTTTTTTAAATTTTAAATTGTCGAACAAAGAAGAAATAGCCACATCCTTAAACAACGATGAGCTACCAAAAGCCCCTGATAAAGTGTCTTAAGCTACACAATTCTTTATTGCACTATCGACCTTCCAAGTGTCTAATAACACACTATGTGTCATCAAGTCAGTTTCGACTGTACAGGCCAGCACGAGACAGACCCCGTCAATCGAGCGGTCACGTCGATTGACAAAATGCATGCATCAAACAAACAACATGGATTTGTGAGTAGGAAGAAAGTCCTTGACAATAAAGACGTCAACAACGTCCTAATAATAATAACGTCCTAAAGACAATAAACGTCCTAATGACAACAACGTCCTAATGAAAATAACGTCCTAATGACGATAACGTCTTAATGACAATAACGTCCTAATGACAATAACGTCCTAAAGACAATAACGTCTTCATGACAATAACGTCATAAGGACAATAAAGTCCTAATGACAATAACGTCCTAATGAAGATAAAGTCCTAATGACAATAACGTCCTAGAAAAAATAACGTCCTAAAGACAATAACGTCTTCATGACAATAACGTCTTCATGACAATAACGTCCTAATGAAAATAAGGTCCTAATGATGATAACTTCCTAATGACAATAAAGTCCTAATGACAATAACGTTTTCGTTACAATAAGGTCCCAATGACAATAACGTCAAAATAACGATAACGTACTAAAGACAATAACGTTTTAATTATAATAACGTCGTAAAGACAATAACGTCCTAATGACAATAATGTCCTATGACAATAACGTCCTAAAGACAATAACGTCTTAATGACAATAACGTCCTAATGACAATAACATCCTAATGACAATAATGTCCTATGACAATAAAGTCCTAATAACAATAACGTCCTAAAGACAATAACGTCCTAAAGACAATAATGTCCTATGACAATAACGTCCTAAAGACAATAACGTCTTAATGACAATAACGTCCTAATGACAATAACATCCTAATGACAATAATGTCCTATGACAATAACATCCTAATGACAATAATGTCCTAAAGACAATAACGTCTTAATGACAATAACGTCCTAATGATAATAACGTCCTAAAGACAATAACGTCCTAAAGACAATAATGTTCTAATGACAATAACGTCTTAATGACAATAACGTCCTAATGACAATAACGTCTTAATGACAATAACGTCCTAATGACAATAACGTCTTAATGACAATAACGTCCTAATGACAATAACGTCTTAATGACAATAACGTCCTAAAGACAATAACGTCTTAATGACAATAACGTCCTAATGACAATAACGTCTTAATTACAATAATGTCCTTATGATGATAACGTCCTAACGACGATAAAGTCCTAATGACAATAACGTCTTAATGACAATTACGTCCTGATGACAATAACGTCCTAAAGACAATAACGTCCTAAAGACAATAATGTCCTATGACAATAACGTCCTAAAGACAATAACGTCTTAATGACAATAACGTCCTAATGACAATAACGTCCTAAAGACAATAACGTCCTAAAGACAATAATGTCCTAAGGACAATAACGTCTTAATGACAATAACGTCCCAATGACAATAACGTCCTAATGACGATAAAGCCCTAAGGACAATAACGTCCTAATGACAACAGATTCGCCCTTGTTTATTGATGTCGCACTGTTACAAACGTCTCCTTGCATACGCCGTTCAATAGCTTCATGAATTCAATGGGTAAGTAGGAACAACCCAACGATCAATATTTTGATATGGCTCTTTGCTCAACAATCAACTCAACATCCCGCCACGCGGCTACTTTGAAGTTGACACATTGACGGGTTAAAGGTTAAATAAACTTTGGACCCTGGCTCTTGATGTCATTAAAAAATACAGTACTTTTTTTTTCTTTTACAGTAGATTGTTATCATTTTAAGATCATCGAGGGACAGGTTTTCTGGCAAGCTTTGACATTGTTGGTCATATTATAACACGTAGACTTTTTGGTAGTAACATGTAGACATTTTGGTCATGCAGTGGCATGTAGACTGTTTTGTAGGATAGTAATATGTAGACATTTTGGTAATATAGTAATATTTAGACATTTTGGTAATATAGTAATATGTAGTCGTTTATGTATTGTAGTAATATGTAGACATTTTTACAGTAACACGTAGGCCTATCTATTTTTTAGTCTTATAGTAGACATTTTTTTTATCTTACATTCAATTGTATAATATTTATGTTATGTAGTTGACTTATTTTCAAATGAGCATTACATTTGAAATATGAAACTCAGTTGAACTCTACAGACCACCTAACGAAAACATCTTTAAATTATTCATTGCTCTGACTTGTATGAAATATGGGTGTTGTTTTCAAAGTATAGTATTTATAGGAACCATAACAATTCTACAGTCTGGGTACTTCTGGTGGCTATGTTCATCTCATAGTCCCCGCATCTAACACAGATCACAGATTTACTGGATCTTTACGTAAACAAGTATCACAAACGGGACTATGACGTACCAAGTTCTTGAGAAGATGACTTATGTCAATTATGAGCATTGCCCAATCTCGGATGAATACGTCATGTCAGTTTGTGAAACAGTCATGGAAATAAATTCCTCCCTCTGCGTGATGCCTCGTTATTTAATCGTAATCTCCTACTAAGCTCGCTCCATGTGTCGATGCTCCATGGACGTAACCACAAAATGTTATGGTCGACCTTTTGACGGTAGCTTTGGATTGTGTTAGATACGCTGGGCTTAAGATGAGCGCTATCCACCGTGGCTTGCTTTAATTCCCGGCAAAGGTTTTTTAACCGTACAGCTTTGTTTGGATGTGTACAACAATCCGATTGCCTTAATTGTTTAGGTTTTCTTTTTAAAAAAAAACAACATATGGACAGGGCGCTGACGGTGTCAGTGTTGTACAATGTTCGATCTGATGTCATGCGTTGGTTGTTCTGTACAGTGGTGCATCTGCCAATCACAGCTTAGAGCAGTGGCGTAGGAGCGAGGGGAGTGGACGGCACCAGGTGGCACTCTTGTCTCTACATTGAGTAGCGGTCAACTGAAGAGGGATTTATTTTGCGTAAAAGTGGGGCGGCAAAAAACTTCACTAAACCTGGCTGTCCTACTCCTCGAAGCGAGATGTTAAATTATAGTAGGTATGAGTCGATTCTAACATTTTGAGATACACAGCTTTTATTTCATCTACCTTTCTTATAATGTTTCATTAAGTCCTTCCAACAACCCGCTTTTTCAAATATCCACATCTGCAATTAAATTAGCTTACATTTAAATAAATAAACAAGTACATACAATCAGAATGAGTATATGGCTGCACACTATTGCTGGAAAATCCGTTTGTTTTACGTGACCTCATAATGGGTTATTATTATTCACTCCGAGGCTGCGCAATTAAAGATCAAAGGCTCATAACCGAAATATTATTTATCTTTTTAGTAACCCTTAGTAATTCCCCTTTAAAACGTTACTTAACTTCATCATCGTTTTTAACTTGAAAATAAATTATTGTCTTTTGAGATTGAAGGAAGTAAACGTGACATTTAAATTATAAAGCAAAAATAAACATAATTAATCCGGAACAATAATGATACGCATAAGAGAGACAACTCTTTAAAAAAAATTCCACATAAATATCAATTTTGTTAAAATCAATTTATTTTGCATATAACTATATGCACAACCGTTAGATATAAAACCCGAACGTAAATGTTTATACAATATAAACAAGCAACTTTTAGATTTTAAACAATTTAACACTGATACTCAGAGGTTTGATCCGAAAAGTAGATTTGTGGGAATTTCATAAGAAAATATTTTGCCATAAATACAAATGGAGATGACGGCTTAGGTACCATAAATAGACAAAAAGAGATTGGGGTCAAGCTGACTTAAACTTGGGTCCGTTTGGAAGTTCTTTCCGTTTAGATTTCGTCACGGGGAGGATTTCAGTTCAAGCTTTTAACCGACCACAGCAGCGGGACCCTTCCACAAATAGGAGTACTCGCCGACGTAGACCCGGCACACCCTGAAGTTACTCCCACTCGCCCCGCTGAAGTCCATGGTGTCCGAGAAGTAGAGCTGGGCCCTGTTGGACGTGAACCACAGGTAGCCCTTGTCGTCCACCTTCAGACTATCCACAAAACTGTATGTGGTCACGTTCTGAACGATCTCGGTCTGGGTCACGAGGGTCACGCCGCCCTCCGCGACCTTCTGGTCTTCCCGATCTTTGAGGTGCTCCCACCTAGAAGAGAACCAAAGAGTTTTTTTTTTTTTTTTTTTTAATTGCATTCCTTGCAATCCTTAAAACATTTTCTTGAGGAAAAACAACTTTATTTCAAATGTATAATGACCGCAAGATAATATACCTGTATACGATTAAGTTAAAGCAAGGGATGATCCATATATAAAATTGACGTGAATCGTCTAGAGTGGAAGGTGTGCGTCTTTGCGACAGTTTATTATTAAGGCGACTACATTTTGTAACAAATTTTGCGTCGATGGAAGGAAAAAAAAAAGTGATTTGGAGGGCAGTGAGTGTGGAGGGAAAAAATGGTTTAAAAATATCGTGTTTTCATTTATCGATCATGGTTCTTTACACTGGCTTATTAGGGAGCCCTAACATTGGAAAGAAAAAAAAAATAATGGCAGATGAGCTTTGAATATGCGAATTACTTAGCAGTGAGTAGTTTCTAATGTATTAGGACATGAATAACGTTGAAGTATTCGTAACGCTAGAGTTATTCAACTGATCAGGGAAATGGAAACTAATTTACTTGGTAAACAAAACAAAACACACCAAAGTAGCCCCCCCCCCCTCCTCATCCTTTGCTTCGAAAAACAACAACTACACACATATATGAACTATGCAGTAAAACTATGCTTAACATGTTTACAAAACGAATAATTCAAAGTAATATAATGTGACTTAAGATATTTAAAAATGAGTTCAATATACAATTGAATTCTTTTCATGAACACATTTCATTTGGTACGATACGATATACTTACTTATACACAGCGTTCAATGTCAAGGCCCCGTAAAAAATACTCGACTGACCAGATGCAAGTCCGTCAGAATTTGAAATCTTCTTGCCAAGTAAGCGGACACTGCCAGCGAAATCTCCGTCAGGATCTCTAAGAACAGATGTGGGGATCTGAAAGAGTTTCCTACCACCGATCGGACAATAATAGACGGACAGGAAATCAGGGTCAATGGCAATGCCGTCCACAGGATACCCCAACTGAGTGTAGTTGACGCCATTTATGGCCATGACACGGTCCTCGTCCGTCTGCATAGATTCATGCTTGAACGACCATGAGCTGTTGGTCTCGAGGTCAAATACGATGATCTGAACGCTTCCGATATCCGTTATGTAAATGTACTTGACCTCCTGGTCTTTTCTAGTGATGTAGTCCAGGACAAGGTCGTTGAGGATGCTGACGTTCTTCGGCACCAGACTTTCCAGAAATTCGTGTTTTCTGACGAGCGCTCCCTGATTTTTTAGATCAAAGACCACCAGTTTCGGCGGACAGGGTGCATACGGGTTTGGTGGACCCCTCCAGGTTCTCCCTACGTCTAAGACGTACATCAGCCCCGTATTGGGGTCGGTCTGGCTGGCGAAGGGCGACTGCAGACTCTCGCACTTCCCCAGCTCGTTCGCAGCAAGGCTAGGGAACGGCTGCAGTAAAGACCTCCCGTTCTTCACCACCACCTTGTTGAGCCCCGAAGGCACCTCGGGCGTCATTCGAAGAGCCGTGACGTAGACTTCATCGTTGTACACGTCGATCCCCGAGAGGTGGCTTTTGTTGGGTTCGTACCAGCCTCGTTTGATGTAATCGGCCTTCACGTCGTCAGAGGGCCAATCGTATTCCAGTGTGGTCCATTCATGAACAACTTCACCGCGAGGGTCGAGAGCGCCGTTGGTAGATTTCAAACTGACACTTGTTAGTGCTGCAGATGTTCCCATTAAAACTGCCAACGTCAACCACAGCGAAGGGGTGAAGGTCATTGTGACGCCCATATTACTGAGTCTTGGATCTAGAAATGTGAATCTAGAATTGGCGTAAATAAAATAACAAAAAAGCAAGCATGTAGTTATGATTCATTTTAAGTAACACATTTCTTATTTAAATAACCTAAGATAAAATAGTTGAAATAATTTTCTCTCCACAGCACATTGTGTTTAAACCCATCCCAATTTCAGTAAATCTTCTTTTTCACTTCCTATTCAATTTCAATAATGAGATTTACACAATTAGCAATGGGCGCATCCGAATAATTTCGATTGATTTAATTCCTCCTTTTAGACTAAGCTGTGTAAAAAACTTCATTTTAGCATTGTCGCATTTGTAAAAAAAAATTTTTAAACTTGAATTTTTCATGTCCATCAATCCAATTGAATTATGCTTCTCAAACTAGAATAGTTTGTATAGAGAATATTTTTTTACTGCTAATTCAAACCAAATCTTATAGCAGTGTTTGCCAACCTTTTTGTGCCATGCCCCACCTAAGCCTTTCTACAATTATTCTAATGCCCCCCCCCCCCACAATGTATTATATAATAATGTTTAATATTCAAAAATAGGGTTGTTCACTGAAGAAGCTGAAATGATTTTTACAACACTTTTCATGAACGCTTATTTTGAATGCAGTGTTTTCCAACCTTTTTGTGCCAGTCCCCACCTAAGCCTTTTTACAATTATTCTTATGCCCCCCCCCCCCACAATGTATTATATAATAATGTTTAATATTCAAAAATAGGGTTGTTCACTGAAGAAGCTGAAATGATTTTTACAACACTTTTCATGAACGCTTATTTTGAATTAAGACTTTAATTATTCTCCTTTTAAAATACAAGTTAAATCACATAAGATAAGATAAAATAAGATAAGATTCTTTTATTGATCCAAATGAATGGAAATGTTTTATGATTGCATTGCACATTTTCAGTACATAAATAAAACAATTTGAACACAAGACATTTATAATAACAAATTATTTCACTAGAAAGGAAAAAAAAAAGCCATTCAGAGAGTTCTCTAAGCCATATCAGGGAATTATTAGTTCTTATTAAGATTTGTGACTTCAGGGGGAGCACGCTGGTAAATTTGTACAGATTCGGGAACAAAAGAATTTGTATATCTTTCAGTCCTCGCCCTGGAGGAAAGAATTCGTCCCAAACTTGCTGATCCTAAGTATCTGTGATGAAGAGGGTGGGATGTATCATCAAAAATGTGTTTAGTTTTACAAAAAAAACTTATTTCTTCGAATAGTTCTTCCAGTGAAGGATGTTTAGTTTATGTTATGTCTCTAGCTTTCTTGATTAGTCGGTTTATTTGGTGTTTAATATCAGACGTTGAATTCCCACACCAGCAGGTAATACTGAAATTAAGTAGGCTTCCAATTGTTGCACTGTAGAATTAAGTTAACGACTTGTTTGTTTACGACGAAATTGTATAGCTTTTTGAGGTAGAACAGTCTTTGGTTGAATTTCTTATGCAGCATTTGGCCGTGCTAATGCCATGTTAGCTTATTATTAATGGTGACACCTAACTACTTATAAGTTATATGCCTCTACTTTCTCTACACTTTGATTTTGTAATGTTGAGATCTCTAATCTGGTGTTTCCCCCCTCCTGAAATCGACAACCATTTCCTTTATTGTTTAGACATTCAGCTGGAGAAAATTTGCATCGCACCAATTGATAAAGCTCTTAACCTTAACTAAGTTACGGTACAAGCCTTCTCCTTCGTATTTTAACCCAACGGTATCATCAGACGATTTTCTTTTCAAAATCTAGACAGCTCATTTTTTTGAATTGCCCCCCTAAACAATCAAATCCCCCCCCCTTGTGGGGAGTGGGCCCCACGTCGGGAAAGTGGGCCTTAGAGCCCCTATCTCATTCCGCAGAATTCAATCAAAATAAAAATTACGTATAAAAAATCATCAAATAAAATACGTATATATTATAAAGATAAACATTGAAAACTTACGTCGCTGGCACTTAATCCTTTAGAACTGGTAGACCGTGTGGTCTGCTAAAAGCTATAAAAAATAGTTCTGATATTCAACTCTTCTACACTTAAATATATAATTTTTGAAAACCTTTGTATTCATTTTACTTCTATCAGCTCTGGGATAATTTATGGGACAAAGTTTGTCCTGTTTCTTAATTTTTTTTTTTTTTAAACGACCACCTATTCTTTATATGCATGTAAAGGTTGCAGGTTTTTTTTCAGCCTTTTCATATCGGGATGTGTTGATATAAAAATAACAAAAATATAAAATAACAAAGAAATCAGGCCGTTGTTGTTGTTGTTGCTGCTGCTGTTGTTGTTGCCATTGTTGCTGTTGTTGCTGCTGCTGTTGTTGTCACCGTTGTTGCTGTTGTTGCTGCTGCTGTTGTTGTTGCCGTTGTTGCTGTTGTTGCTGCTGCTGTTGTTGCTGCTGTTGTTGTTGCTGTTGTTGCTGCTGCTGTTGTTGCTGTTGTGGCTGTTCGTGGTTCTTTTTAATTCCAAAGATATCAAAATAGACCTCTAATCTAATCTCTAAAAATAATAATCTCTATCTCACTTAAGCGTAGGTTTTTGATTGATATTTTTTTTTTCTTTAAATGAGAATTGATCTGAGGGAAACATGTAACCGATTAGTCATACTTCAGATGCTATCAAAGTCAAGGGAGAGGGTGCTATTAACATGAGTAAAATCGCATGGGTCAGTTTGATCAAATGGGGTTAAGATGTCGATGTCCAGGCATAGTTGGGAATATTATTCTTAGTTTTGAGAACAATCTGATTCAATGCTTTTTATAAACTTTTTAGCATTTATATAGCCGTTTGCTCATTACTACTCTAAAAAAATATTTTAAAAACTTTTTTAAAAAAAAAAGACTTTCTTTTAAAAGTCAAGTTTAAATGAATTAAAAATTAGAAATTATACCCTGGTGCCAAGCTGTATCATCCATATGATGCTCCCTGGCGTTATCCAGTGGCGTGGACAGAGGCGATTTGTTGTTGGGAACAAGCTTATAATCCTAGAAGAATAATCCCAGGCCTTGCGGATTTCGTCCTGCGAAGTCTACACAATCCTCACATGCCAACAAAAAAAAAATGATAATAATAATAGGCTTATATATATTTTTTTTTCATAATCGATTTTAAGAAATTGAACATTATTTTCTACCCTTTAATTCATTCAACTCGTCGTTTAAAGAAAGCTTTTTTTTTTTTTTTTTTTTTTTTTTTTTTTTTTTTTTTTTTTTTTTTTTTTTTTTTTTTTTTTTTGTTTTTTTTTTTTTTTTTTTTTTTTTTTTTTTTTTTTTTTTTTTTTTTTTTTTTTTTTTTAAATTTTTGTTTTGTGTTTCCTACTTTTTAGTTTTAAAAGTACAATCTGTAAATAGTCGACAAAAGAAGAACTGACCACGTTCTAAAACATCGATAACTTACAAAAATCCCGGATATAGTGTCTTAAGATCCACACAATTCTTTATTGCCCAATCAACCTTCTTAGTTGTCACTGCAACACACTCTGTGTCATCAACTCAGTTGCGCATGTACAGGGCAGCACGCGGCAAACCCCGTCAATTGCGCGGTCGCCTGGGATAACGATAAGATTACTACAATACAAACTCCGTGGATTTGTGAGTTGGGCGAAAGGCTTCGATAATAAAGAAGAGACAATGACAATAATTTCCTAATGGCAATAAAGTAGTAATCAACGCCCTGGTCTTAATAATACCCCATGGCTCAGATCTGACAGCCCACACAATTAATACGACATCTTCTCCCTCAGATTCGCCTCCTTGTTTATTGATGTCGCACTGTTAGAACACTGTTTCTCGCAAAGGCTGTTCAATGGCTTCGTTTCGTCCAGGCGTGAGCAGTGACAGCCACAAGATCAATCTTTGATACTAGGAGTTAAACCCCACATCGTTAGCTCGCCCTAGCGATGTCGCTGTTGTACATAGGTCTAGTGAGGCTCAATAGCCACGTGATCTTCACCCCTTTTCGCCGACCCCTATTACTAAACTGTGGTGCACAAATAGAACAGTTGCTTTGTCGGTCCTACAAACTGATACTCTTTAAACTGCCAGTTACGCTCTTGTCAAAAATCAAAACATTCAACTGACGCTTTCAAAGTAAAACAATGTCAGCCTGACCTTGCTGTGCAGTGCAGGTTGAAATGAATCTTAATAACCAATAACCGGTTTAAAATCGGGATTCCGAAAAACGTTAAATGATTCCCATCACCACACCCCGACCAGTTTTATTTATTTTTTTTTTAAAGTTTTTAGTTCTAGCATTTGCACGGATTGTGGGCACCATGTTAGATTATTGCCCTTGGGTCAGTCTTTGTGAGGGTTTAATTCTAATTTGTTGTTTCCCTGTTATAATAGTTGAAGTATTCGCTTCCCCTTTTAATACAAAAGAAAAATCAACCCATAACCGGAGTTCAGACGTCACGCATGAAGCTCGCTGCGTGACTGTTTTTTTTTTTTTTTACTCAGTACTATTAATATAAACATGTGGAATTGGAAAAAGGGAGAGGGGGTGTGCTGTTTTGAGGCTGAAGCACGACGCACCAGTAGCAAATATATATATATAATAATAATAATAATAATAAAGTTCATTTCAAAAACACGCTTCATCCCCAAAGGCTCGAAGCGCGGTACAAAGTCAACGAAATACAAATCTATAATTTACCACATTTAAAACAAACGCAACACTCCAAAAACTAATTACTAGCATACATACACACACCAAAAAAAAAAATATATATATATTTCACTGCTGTCTATATATATATATATATATATATATATATATATATATATATATAAGAGATGGTTCTTTATTCGCCAATAAACTCTACAACGTCACTTCTTCATTCCTTCCACTGTCTCTCTGCAACTCACTAACAACAAAACCATAACAACCCATAACGCCATCTCTCATACCCAAATACGTCACAAAAACAAACCACAGAGCAACAGCGACACATTTAATCTCCACACCAAAACACGCGCTCATGGAACAACTCGTTAACACGTACCAGTTACTGGCATTGATTGATATCTAATCTTTTCATGACAAAGAACCGAGGTCCAACAAAAACATTTCTTTCCACTTAACCCGGTACAAGGGGTTTGCTATACATTTAACCAGAGAGACCCAAGGGCCTAGATTTTAGATTTTGTTCTAATCACTTTTAGTTATCTATGTAAATGTTGACACATGATAAAGTAAGGTGATTTTATAATAGTGTGGTCAATAAACTAAAAGAGATATTATTAGTTGTTATAATACTTGGTTCTGACCAAACATAAGAAATATTTATTTTTTTATAAAATTATTTCAACAAGTACACACACAAAATGACGGTACTGAAATAGCAAAGACGAAAAAAAATAATAATAAAAATACACATTTTGCTCAATTTTATTTCTAATTTTTTATTTTTTTTTAGTGGAATTTAATAGCTTTAAAAATAATTTCCAAAAATTTTGTGAAACATTTGAATTAGTTTTATGTCAAAATAGCATGAAATGCGTATCTCCTGAATGCAGAGGCGTAGCCGGGGGGGGGGCAGGGGGGACAGATGTCCCCGGGCGCAAGCTGGTTAGGGGCGCCAAAATGTGCTTTGATATTATATTATTGCTAAAAATAATGGGTTTGAGAGTTGAAAAAAAAGAAAAGGGGGCGCTTTAAAATGAATCTTGTCCCCGGGCGCGAATCTTGTCCCAAGGCACCAAACACCCTCGCTACGCCTCTGCCTCAATGTGTTGTTCACGATTCCTCTCGCTATAGCGCTAGTATGCTGTTGCGAAGCCTTGTTTTATGTATAGCCTTGCTTTCGTCATGCCTGAAGTATTATTATTTCTATGTTGTCCGCTGCATAATTATGTGACTGTCCTTTTTATTATTTAATCACTAGTTGAGGTCAATTTTTGCTAATCTACTTCTTATCCTGTGTAAAAAGATTGCATAATAGGAAGATTATCTAAAACTAGACCTCACCTATTGTAAATGAAAAAGCAGCAGATAAATTATAAATGATGTGTATTATATAATTGTCTAGTGTAATTTTTGCAATTTTTTGTTTTCAAATTCAATCCAGATTGAGTTACTGCATCAATGAATAACTGTGACAACTGTTGACAATTAACTCTTCTACCATTAAAGTCATTATAATAATGTCATAGTTCTTTTAATTGCAAATCTCATATTTAATACAGTTTAATAGTGAAGTGTGTTTAGATTAAATTTTAATTAGATGTTAATTTTTTTTAAATTGTTCGAAAGTGTGACGTACTTTAGGGGGGGGGGGGGGGGGGGGTCCGAGTTTTGTGACAGGGGGGGGGGGGGGTTGAAAATGGTCAAAAGTAGCGTGACTTATTTTATTGGGGGGGGGGGGGTCGGTGTCCGAGATTTGTGACAGGGGAGAGGGGGGATTGAAAATGGTCAAAAGTAGCGTGACTTACTTTATGGACGGCCGTTTGTGCATTTGGATGATGATGATAATAGGTAACATTTCGTATTTAAGGGATAGACAACTGTAGTAATACACGAACTTTACCATGCTATAAACTGTTTGACTATTCTCCCTTGAATTGTGGTATTTTATTTTTAAAATGAGCAGTTAATTTAGTTTGGTCTCAAATGTGACAGTGCTACCTGTTCATAAAATATATAATTTTTATGTCCAAGTTTATGTTTAGAGAATTAGGTTTTAAGTAACGTCTTTGCATTTCGGGACACTTCACTTTCACCTGTGCAGTATTCAGCATTATTATGCTCTTTGGTACTCATTGGTAGTCTATAGACTAGTCTATTATAGTTTTAGCAATATTCACCTGGTTTTTTTTTTAAAGTAGATTATACGACGTGATTTTTTCTTTTATTTTGTCTGCTCTCACTTTTTTAATAAGCAGATACGTTTATTTATACCCCCCCACAATATATGTATATATATATATATATATATATATATATATATATATATATA